TGGCCTAATATGCTAATGAGTTCTGCTGTTGGGTGTGGCCTATTATGCTAATGAGTTCCTGCTGGGCTTTTTCTACAAAAAGAGCCCTGGTTTCCCGGACATGCATGCATGGGTGAGTCAGCCACAGTGTCAATGGAGGGCAGGGGACCAACAAAATGAGAGAAGAGACCTCTTGAGGAAACACTCACTGTGCAAACCTCTTCTTACTTGGAGGACACACTGAGCCATCCGAGTTGTGTGGGAACCCAAGATACAAACCGGCATTCCCATGGTTCCTTGTCTGAATGTAGGGCCAGCCAGTGATCAGCAAGGCTATCAAAACTGAAAGAAGCAGGGCAGAAAAGGGCGGTCTTTTATCAGTTTCCAAAATCGTTAGACTGCAAGATGACCTACTGAGATGACTAAAGGTACACACAAAAGTATAAGATGGGAGTAACCACACCAGGATTGCATGTAGATGAATAGATTGTATTTATTTAAATAAAATGACTCAATGTATATGGCGCTACAAAACCGTAAGGACACTGAGCCAGGTTGCCAACATCCCGGCCAGGTGGGACCTGGAGTTCTCCCAGAATCGCAGCTGACCCCCATACTACAGAGATCGCTTTCCTCCGGAGACATGGCAGTTTTGAAGGATGGACTCTACAGAATCGTATCCCAGCTGATCTCCCTCTCGTTCCTAAACTCTGCCTTCCCCAAGTACCACCCTCAAGTCTCCAGGGATTTCCCAAACTGAAGTTGGCAACCCTATGGGTAGAGCACGAGAACAAAAAAAAAACATTCAGAACAAATCACAGTCCAGGACACTAGTGGCAAAGCAACAATAAAACAGAAGCAGTTACAGATTTAAAGCAGCCTCATTTAGCAGCCAATAAAAATAAATGTAGCAGCAGTAAAATCCACAGAAAGAAGCAATTAAAATAAGAAAACCAGCTGCAGCCATAGTAAAACTAACCACACTCAAAATTCACAGCTCTCAATTTCTTTTCAATAGCTTCTGAAGATTATCTTCTTTTTAAAAAACTTTTTAGACCGGGGGTTCCCCACCTTGGTGCCCGTGGGCATCATGGCACCTATTGACACTTCTGATGGCAAAAAAAATGGCTTTGACAGTAGTTGCCACCACAGCACAAGGACCTTCACTATGTGACTGACAATAAGCCGTGGCAGCCATTTTGTTGCTGGCCCCGCCTCTTGCATCCGCCATTTTATAGCAGCCATTTTGTGGCTGCACCCACCAAACTGCATCAGAATTCCAAAGATGCCCACAGGCTCAAAATGGTTGTGGACCCCTGTTTTAGACTAATTAATTTTAATTGTATGCCAGTTTGGTGTAGTGGTTAAGTGCGTAAACTCTAATCTGGGAGAACCGGGTTTGATTACCCACTCGCACCTGGCTGGATGACCTTGGGCACGCCGTAGTTCTTATAAGAGCTGTTTTTGAAAAAGAGTTGTGAAGAGCTCTCTCAGCCCCACCCACCTCACAGGGTGTCTGTTGTGGGGAGGGGAAGGGAAAGGAGTTTGTAAGCCGCTCTGAGACACCTTTGGGTAGTGAAGGGTGGGGTATAAATCCAATCTCCTCATCTTCTTCTTTAACCTCACAGGTTGTCTGTTGTGGGGAAGGGAAAGGAGTTTGTAAGCCGCTCTGAGACACCTTTGGGTAGTGAAGGGTGGGGTATGAATCCAATTTCCTCTTTTTCTTCTTTAACCTCAGAGGTTGTCTGTTGTGGGGAGGGGAAGGGAAAGGAGTTTGTAAGCCGCTCTGAGACACCTTTGGGTAGTGAAGGGCGGGGTATAAATCCAATATCTTCTCTTCTTCTTGTTCCTGTGTTGTATACCACCTCAGGAAAACTCGTGGTGAGATGGCAGAAATAATGTAAATCCAAACCCAGGTGAATAAAAATATTTTTATCTGATACTGGAAATTTAATATACAACAGGTGTTCAGTGACATTCCACAAACTGGTTACTGGCACAGAAAAGCCCCCATTTAAGGGTTGCCAGTCTCCAGGTGGGGCCTGGAGATATCCCGCTTTTACAACTGATCTCCAGCTGACAGAGATCAGCTCCCCTGGAGGAAATGGCTGCTTTGAAGGGTGGACTCTACGGCATTGTACCCTGCTGAGGCCCCTCCCCTCCCCAAACCCCACCCTCTTCTGGATCCACCCCCATAGTCTCCAGGTATTTTCCAACCCAGACCTGGCAACTCTACCCCTATTCTACTTCACTATGTGACTTGCCTTGGTAAAAAGGAATCTGCTTAACAGGACCTCTGCTAGAGATTTCAGTCTCAATCTGATGCTGATTTTAAGTTGTGTGTTGAACATCAAATACATGAAATGTAATCTGCAAAGAAGATAAAGATAAAACGATAGCTATAAATAGATTTAACAGCAGCCATGATTCCATTTTATTTTGTCTCAGGTGGTGGCCCTACCAAAATTTAATCTAGATATGATGAAAAGGTGGCACACAGTTTTACATGCAAAAAATAAGTATTTTTATGCAATGCCATGAGTTATCATTTCCTTGATAAACTGTTAAATTTATAATTTATATAATTGTTTAATTGTGATAGATGGTGGCATCTTGATTAGGGAGCCTGACTACTCATCATGAGAAGGTTTGAGAGGTAAAATAAATCTCCAGTTCCCAGGACACTATCATGAGAATAGAATTACCTCCTGAGGACACAGAAAGAAGCCAATATAATTTATATTTCCCATAAAGCATCCCGATAATTGTCACAGTCCTATATGCATAAGTCAGTATTATACCTTTGGGTTGGGTTTTTTTTTAAGTTTAGGGAAAATGCTTGCTGAAAGCCCATTAGTGAGTTATAACTGAGGTGAGATTTGAACAGAGGATTGGACAATTCATAATCTGGCCTACTAAATCAGCTCTCTATTGCAATATGACACAGGTGGTAATATATAAATAAGTTTGAAACCCTCAGGATATCAGGCCTTTGGGAATAACTAGAAATGTCTGTCACAATGGTGTAGCATTCACATTTAATCTTTATGGAGTTAGGGTTCTGTTAGGCAAATCTCCCACAAAATGAGTTAGTGTGAGCTAGCTCACAGTTTTTTAGCCTCCGGCTCACACATTTTTGTCTCAGCTCAGGAAGGATGGCTCCAGAACACACTAATTTATGCAGTAGCCAAATCACCTGCTCACAACTTTAATGCCGGTAGCTCACAAAGTAGAATTTTTGCTCACAGGACTCCACAGCTTAGAGGGAACACAGGTCACAGCAGAGTCAACATGTGAGAATGTGTGTCCTGAATCCCAAGTGGTATGGATCTTTTACTAGATGCAGTCACGTCAGGTCTCAAGGAATTAAACAAATTTTCAAATGTTGTTGTGTGGACCCTTAAAATATTAAAGTACTACAGAGACTGGTCATGCCTGTTAAGAGATAGACTTAATCAATTAAGAAAAATCTGAAAATGTGTTTCTAAAAAGTTGCCAAATTGCACATTAGGGCTGCTTCCATACAGCAGCAGTTTTCTGTGCAATTCTCATCACTGCTGAGAAGCAAAGGAATTCACAGGGTGTGATCACACTGGAGGCTTGGCGTGATATGGCGCTGCCTCTAACTGTACTGGTTTAAAATGTTGTGGGGCATACCATCCAGACAGCACAACCTGCTGCGGGTTACCCACTCGGCCGTCCCCTGATCAAGCATCTACATTATTGCAGCACCTCAGCCATGGAGCATACTGCCTGATCATTTTTAAAATGCATGCATGCATATGCACTCATGCACGTGCACATGCACACATGTGTTCATGCGCATATAGGCAAAACCTAAAAAAACCCACCCCAGCGGCAGAAGCAGATCTGCAGGTTCAGCTCACCAATCTGTTTTGCGCACGTTCCCCCGTGTTCAGACATCTGGCCATCCACAATGAATGTGTGGGGAACTAAAAACACCACTTGTAATGTGGTGCCTTTTTCACCCAGCTCCTACGATGGGGTCAGTATGCCTGGGCAACGCCTTACAGATGTGGCTGTGTGACTGTGCCCATTTAATCCAGAGGGGAGGAGTGGCTATGTCGGGCCAAACTTCTTCTGTGATCACACCCACGGTGGCAGCCGAGTGCTCCCACAGCAATTTCCCCCACACTTTCCTTGCTTGGGCGGGCCCTTGTGGCCACCATTCCCCTCCACACCAGATAGAATTTCCCTCGAATCCTAGCCATCCGATAGGTGCGCCCTAGGATCCGTTCAGGCTATTGTCTCTGGAAGCGAAGATTGGGCCATTCGCATGGCCACGTGCGGACCCGACCGTGTGCGTGGCTTCTCTGGGTACACAACACACCTCCCCCCTTGGTCCAGATTACCCCTAGCTGACATAGTCTTTTAAGTGTGCTGGTCTCTTCTGTTCCCTTGTGGAGTGGCGGACCTCAGGGGCCGGCGCTGAGATCTCGGGTACCGTACTTGTCGGTTCTGGGGAAGGAACGTCGGCTGCGGGGGCCACTGCGGGGGCCGGTGTGCTGCTAGGTTCCTGGCTGGCCGCTGGTTCCGAGCCATTGCTGTTCTCCCTCGGTTGTGTTTGAGCAGCCGCCTCTGGTGCCCCGGGCGACAGATCGTCTTCTGGGCTGTCTTCCGGCATGTCCGGGTCTGTTGGCAGGAGAAGGTAGCATAGTTGATCAATGTGCCACCTCCACAGCTGGCTGTCGTCACATGAGACCTTGTATGAAAGCGGTCCGGTCACCCGGACAACCCGTGCTGGAACCCAGGTGGGACCCCTGCCGTAGTTTCTGGCATACACGGGGTCTTCTGGAAAGAACTCTCGTGGAGCCTCTTGGTCCTCGGGGCTTGTGCTGTGTTTTGGTGCCCGGTCCGGGTGCAGACGATCTAGCTGAGTCGTCAGGCAATGTCCCATCAACAGCTCTGCTGGGCTGCAGCCGGTGGTGGTATGGGGGGGGGTCGAGCGCTGGCTGAATAGGAAGGCAGCCAGCTTGTAGTGCCAATCCCCCTGGTCCATACAGCGCAGTGCCTCCTTCGTGGTCCAGACCATGCGCTCCTGCCTCATTCGTGGTCCAGACCATGCGCTCCGCCTGGCCGTTGGTCGCGGGATGAAACAGAGCGGAGCGGATGTGCCGTATAACATAATATTGCACGAACTCCTGAAACTCTGTGGAGGTAAAGGCTGTGCCATTGTCGGTGACCAATGAGTCCAGTATTCCATGGGTGCTAAAGATCTGCCACATCGCGTGGATGGCCAACCAGGACAAGGTAGATGGGACTGGTGTGACCTCCAACCACTTCGTGTAGGCATCAACAAGTATGAAG